TCAAGTCGACTCACAATCTGCAGCTGCCACCCGTTGAAAGCTGCCTGCCTGGTGACTCACCCGGAGAGGCTGCTTGCTGCCTGGTGCCTTGGCGTGGTTGACCTCTATCCTGGCTAGCAGCGGCTTCAGGAACCCCCAAGCCTTGGGCGGGTGCCATGTGAATGGGAGAATATCACAGGGCATGCAATGCAGGCAGCTTTCAGCAGAACCAACTCACCCGGAGAGGCTCCTTGCTGCCTGGAGCATTGGCGTGGTTGACCTCTATCCTGGCTAGCAGCGGCTTCAAGAACCCCCCTGCCTGGGGGTGGTACCAGATGAACTCGTCACTGTCTATCTGCAGCTGCCACCTGTCGCCAAACCTCCGCCCCAGCATCATGCAGTGCTCGAACGCTATTACTTGGTCGTATATGTCCGGGAACTGGCTGGGGGAGCGTACGAGAGAGGGAGGCACAGGAGGGGACACCAAGAGGAAGTTGAAGAAAACTCTATCTCGCCTAAGAAATGCAATCTGCAGCTGCCACCTGTCTTACCTAGAAAATCGCACCACTTCCAGCTGTCCACGTGCACCCCCCTTGCCAGGCTTTTTCCCCTCACCGCCACGCCACTAATTCCCGCCAGTCAACCCCCCCAAGAAATTCCTCCTCGCTCCAGCCCCTTCCCCGCAGGTATTACGCGAGCAGAGGGCGAGCCCAGCGCATTCCTCAAAGGTTTCGTTATCTCTCCTGTCCCACCCCTCGCCCTTTCCCCCCCAACGGACCCTGGCGAACAGCTTTGGCAGCAAAGTGCGAAGCAGCACCTGGTTGGGTCGTGGCTCAGGGCAGTTCCACACAGCGAAAAGCGGTTTTCAGCGTTTACCGTTTTGCACCGTGACGAAACGAAGTTGACCGTAGCGAGCGTACAAAAGTTGTACAACCTGACGTCGCCCTAAGCTTGCATTCAGTCACCCAGTCTCGTTAGCAAGCACAGGCGGCCATGAAGAACAAAGATGAAGCCCAAAAGGCGAAAGACCGCGCCGAGGCGAGGCTATCGGCTGGAGGCGTCGCAGGAGCCCGGAAACTCTGTAAGAAAGCTCGTTCCCATTTTGCGACGCTCGACGGCCTTCCTCAGATGGAAATTGTTCTCGACGTTCACGAAGTTGCTGCGAAGCCGTTATTCGGTGCCCGTCACGGCGAGGCGGACTGGTACCACGTTCTAGGCGTTCCCTATTACCAGTCCACCTTGCAGTGACCGGCACCAAATAACGGCTTCGCAGCAGCTTCATGAACGTCGAGAACGGCCTCCATCTGAGAACGGCTGTCGAGCGTCGCAAACAGGGAACGAGCCTTCTTCCAGAGTTTCCGGGCTCCTGCGACGCCTCCAGACGATAGCCTCGCCTCGGTGCAGTCTTTCGCTTTTTGGAATTCGTCTCAAAAATCATTTGAGGCGCCTCAAAAAGGGGCTCACTCTAGTGGGCGCAGGATAACTTCCCCCTCCCCCAACCCTTCTTTTACAACCCTCTCCCCCCCCCTCTTCACACCAAGCCAAGGAAGGCCGCACTCACCGCGTAGGGCTTCTTGGCCTTGCCGTCGTACTGCGCTTGCCTAAAGAACACCTCGCTCCAATTGGGGAACGGCACGTGCACCACCTGCCCTCGGGCAATATACTCCCACAGCAGCGCGCGTATGTGCGTGGAGTAGCGGTCGTACACATAGATGCGATCCACTCCCATCAGCAGACACGCATCGATCCACTCGAGTAAGCGCACGTCGGATACGGCGATATTATCGGAGAACATTTGGCGCTTGTGCACGGGGCGCAGGCAGATGCTCACTGCGCCCATGCCCGCACTCCTGCTGCTGCTGCTGCTGCTGCTACTGTTTTTCTCATCCTCGTTTGTAGCTGCATCCTCATAGTTCACAAGCAGGTCCTTGGAACTAAGCATTTTCCCACCAGAGGCTTTATCTGTGCTGTTCGCCCCTTGCTCCGCCTCAGCCAAAAACCGAACCAGCTCCGAACCACTTCCCAAGCCTACAGCGGCCTTTGAGCCTGCCGAACCGCCAGAGCGACCCTTTGCACCCTTCGCAGCAGCAGCAGTAGCAGCCTCAGCAGCGGCCCCGGCGACAGCCAGAGCAGCCAATTCCTTTTCCTTTGCTGCAAACGGAAACGGCGGAGGGAAAGAGACAGGGAAGGGCTGGGCCGCAACAGCAGAAGTAGCAGCAGCAGCAGTGTGATGAGAGGACGTGAGGGAGAGGGAGAGCGGGGAGGATGCAAGGGTGTGTTTGTCATTGTCGGCGCGGCACAGCAGCAGCGGGGGCATGCGTAGGTCTGCCCCATCCTCTGCTGCCACCAGCTGCACCTGCACCTGCTGCCAGTGATGCACCGCCCACTTTCTCCCGTCCGCCGTTCCCAACCGCTCTCGACCGGTCACAGACGCAGGAGCCGCAGACGGATCAGAGAGAGGACCAGCGGAGCTGGCTGGTTCACTTGAAACGGTCTCATTACCAGTCATAAGCTCGGTGTATGGTGGCAGTGGGCACTCGATAATGTTATGCCAAAGATAGCTGTTATTGGCGACCGCGTCCACGATATAAGCAGGCTCGAGCGTCTGCATATAAGCGTCGTGCGTGGGCCACACGTGGCACTGCACCTTAAACACGCTCGGAGTGAAGAGGTCGCTGTATTCCGCCTCGCCCCACCCCTGCCACTGCGACTTGCGGATCGAATCGTCGTCCTCCAGAAACGACAGCAGCCGCAGAGTCGTTTTCGTTGGTTCTGCACCCCCGGGGATCCCTTGGTTCTGCCCCACTTGCTGCTGGTCCCCTTGGTTCTGCCCCACTTGCTGCTGGTCCCCTTGCGCCTGCCCCCCTTGCTGCTGTCCCCCTTTCGGCTCCCCTTGCTGTCTACCTTGCTGGCCCCCATTTCCGCCGTCTCCGCCCGATCCTCCAGCCGTTCCCCCTTCTCCTGCGGCCTTTCCGCTGCTCTCTCCGCCTGTCGTTCCCCCAGCAGCCTCGCGCCGAGCCTCTGCTTCGGCCCAAAGCGCCGGTCCGTGCCGAACCTCCGCTTCAAACACAGTGAGCTGCGCGAACCGGTTGTGAAACGCTTTCCCATGCTTCATAGGCTTCGTTACGAACGTTCCCTGCGCGAACGGCGCTGACGGGCTCCCCATGCACATCCGAATCTTCGCGCCGCGGGCAGTTAACGGCCGATCCAGCGGCGCAAGTTTATCCGACGGGGTACGATCATTCCGCTCGTCGCAACGCGGGCAGTCTCGCGAAGTTTCTTCAGACCGTTCGAGGGGTATATCAGCAGCGTGGTTGCAATCGGAGGGCAGATAAGTCGCGTTTGGTGGAAACGCGACCCAGAACGCGAAGATCGCGGAGGCGGTAAGTACGAGGACGGCATAGTGGACAAATGGGATCGCTTTCAGGAGCGCTGCGGCTTGGTGAGGTAATTGACGATTATGGCTCGGCGACTCTAGGCCTAGGTGAACCATGGTGACTCTCGCGGCAGCACGAGGTGTGCCTTCTTGCGCGCAAAGCGCTCACCCGTTCAATTCACAGCATGGAATTACCTGCTGTTGTAAAAGTGCGCGCCGCGGAAGATGCGGTTGTGGTTAAGCCAAGTGCAATGAGTGGTTTGCTTTGTTTCTGTTGTGATAGCCGGTTCATCCACAGTTGAGAAATTTGCATCATTCTTTCACCAGACTAAATCCATGGTTATCTTCTCACAACTTTCAGAAACGACTCCAACCGTTTGAAGCCAATCACGAGGGTCACTGAATTCGGCTCTTAAAAAAGTAATCTCGAGGTGCGCAGCTTAGACTCCTCACCGGACTGCAGCCCTGATATATCTTTCTGGACCCTACAGACACGATCTGAATCCCGTTAAAGGAAAAAAAAAAAAAAAACGGTTTTTTTTTTTTTTTTTTTTTTTTTTTTTTTTTTTTTTTTTTGCAACAAAAGACTGACCCATTTTGAGCCACGTGTGGGAGTACAGTTGCGTGTGAAATGAGGCATATCATGACCCCATGAACGTCCAGATTGAGCTACCCGGAAACGAGATCAGCTCAACATTCCTTCCGAACTCGTGGTACAGAATCTGCTGTGAGAACACAGCCCAAGCTCTGTTCATCTGAGGGCGGGTCCGAAGTGAAGCCGACATCCATTGACATCCGATATTGGTAGATCCTGACGGTTGAAATTCTCAATCCGAGGGTTGATATTTACCGACATCCATCGACATCCATTTGACGCTTCACTTCGGACACGCTCTGAGATGTTCTCTTTTGCCGACTGTATTTTTTGCTGGGGTCTCCAGGGTTTCGTGACACTCGGGTTGATACACACGACGCGTCTTGCTCAGCACGTACCTGTATGCGAACACTCTGCATCGTATAAAATGCTTACCAAAACGCATTGAAACATCCCTAGCACTTTCCAGTGCGTGAACAGATGAAGTGCGAGTTTTACACAGCATTAGGCCTTCGTGTCGACAAAAAGGGTCCCATGGAGAAAGCACTCTAGTCGCCGCGTTTCCCAACCACACGCCAACCACAAGTAACTGCATTGGGAGATGCTTCCTAGAAATAGTCAGCTTGCCCACAATTTTGGGTCAGTCCTCATTCTGTACATGGACTGAAGCGCAGATTCTGATGGCTCGTAAATAGCTTTTAGTCCGCCACGTCCTTCCTCTTCGCAATCCTTACCCACATTCGCTCGCGGCCGTGCTGGTAAAAATAGCTCTGAAGTCGATTCCACGTTTTCGCGAATTCGCGTGTTCCGTGGTCATCTCAATCTCCATCATCACATTCATTCCGTCCACGGTTCGTTGACGCGACGTGATCAGCTCGAATGCCTTTTCTGCTTTCAAGCTGCGCTGGCTCCTAAGCTTCGCGTAGATTAAAACGCTGGTTCTCTCGTATCTGTAGCTTGAGTTATTTCTGTGTCAAAGAAAGTTATATCGTCAAACAGTGTATTAGGGAAAGGGGTAGCCTGCTAGTCTTCAATATGCCAAATTGAAGTATGGGTCAGAGTGGATCGAGAGAGGAGCTGATACGTCACGCCGCGAAGCACGGCGACACGTCAGGCATCCGAGAGCTGGTTTCACGTGGAATAAGCGTCAATGTGAGATTTACTTATTTTATTCACTATTGTCTTTATAGCTATTTATGCGAAGCACTCATTAAGAATTCACTTGCATCGCTCTGTTCGAGGTTGTTATCCATGTTTTTTTAAACTCGCTGATGCTTGTTCACGCCAATGTGACGCTTGTTTGAAGCTAGCATCCAAGTTTCCAGCTCCTTCTGGCGTGCGTTACACAGTACCCCCCCCCCCCTTGTCCCCCCCCTACCCAGTGCGTGGATTGAAAAGGTTGCACGCCTTATTCTAGCCAGCACCAGCGCAGAGGGATATGAGCCAGCGAAGCTGCTGCTGCTGCTGCTGCTGCTGCTGCTGCTGCTGCTGCTGCTGCTGCTGCTGCTGCTGCTGCTGCTGCTGCTGCTGCTGCTGCTGCTGCTGCTGCAGCTTGGCGAGACAAATGCTTTGCGCTTGTCGTCCCAATCATCCCCCTCATCCTCATCCACCCCACCCAGTGTGTGGTGTGGTGTGGACTCCAAGGGTCGCACGCCCTTGATTGGGCACGCACGATTCGATAGTTTGTCGGTAACTCAGATACTTTATGCCTGTCCCCTCCCTCGTCCCGAAACATCCACCCACACAGTGCGTGGATTCGAAGGGTCGCACGCCGTTGATTCTTGCCAGCAGCCGGGCAGAGGGGTATGAGGCGGCGAAACTTCTGCTGCAGTTGGGCGCTCTTGTTCGCGCCTACTCTAAAGGTGGGCTTGCCGGCTTGCTGTTGCGACTCAATCCTCAAGTGTACATCCACCCTATGTGCTATCACCAGAGTTCCTCTGTACATCCTCAGTTTCATTCAACCACTGTGGGTGGTTGTGTCCCCGCGCCCCACCTTCTCATCTTTGATCTCCATTCATCACAGCCACCTGATACCACTTTCTTTCGTGCCACTGACGACAATCATGATTCACATCTCTCATCCACATCCCCTCTCCCCCGTCCCTGCAGGTTTAGGAGGGGGGACGTCTATTCACTCTGCCAGAGCAGTATAGCCACTCATTATGTTACAGGACGGCCATTTTTAATGCCATACCTCTCCTCTCCTTTCCTCTCTTTCACACCTCTCCCCATCCCTGCAGGTCCAGGAGGGGGCACGGCTATTCACTATGCCGCTCGCAAGCAGCTAGATGCCACGGTGAAGCTGCTGCTGGACCATGGAGGTGAGCTGTAACCGTGTGGTATCCATGTGATAACCAGGTGACGTTTAAGTGGGCTTAAAGGTCCAGGAGGGGGCACGCCCATTCACTATGCCACTGGCAAGCAGCTTGATTCCACGGTGAAGCTGCTGCTGGACCACGGAGGTGAGCTGGTAACCATGTGGTAACCATGCATGCAGCAACCATGTGTGTGTAAGTAAGCGCGATATCTTATGACCGATGCCACAGTGAAGCTGCTGCTGGACCATGGAGGTGAGCTGGTAACCACGCGGTAGCCATGGGCTCAGTATGTGTGTGTAAATGCGATGCCACGGTGAAACTGCTGCTGGACGATGGAGGTGAGCTGGTAACCATGTGGTAACCATGCGTACAGTAACCATGCGTGTGTAAACGCGTTATCTTATGACCAATGCCATAGTGAAGCTGCTGCTGGACCATGGATGTGAGCTGGTAACCATGTGTTTGTCACAACGATACATTACGATCGATATGCCACAGTTAAGTTGCTTTTTCCATGAGAAAAATTTCCCCAACTCTTTTTTTTTTTCCCCCATTTCCTTTCGTTCCCCCCTGCTTGTCCCTATTGCAGCGGAACCCCTTCTTCCCAACGATGATGGAAGGAGCGCGCTGGACCTGGCGAGAGAGAGAAACGCCACTGCTGTTGTCCGACTCATAGAGGTGAGGGTCGTTGGGAAGGAGGGGGGGTCGCATGTGTGTGTGGGCGTGTGAGGAGAGAGAGTATGGGGGTTGGGAGTGAGGTGTAGAGAAGAACACCTTGCACCCCAAGGATGCGGAAGTATATAAAAACGTATCCTGGAGAAGTGGGGTATCGATCCCCATACCTCTCGCATGCTAAGCGAGCGCTCTACCATCTGAGCTACATCCCCATGCTGCCAAGGCTAGTGGGCATTTCAAAATAGACTGGGGCAAACACTGAGAAGGTGCGAGGGATGTGTGAAGGGATGGGCCGCTTGCACCAGCAATCCCTCTCAGCACTATGACATGCTGACTTGGGCACTCGCGAGTTACACCAGCAGACCCTCTCAGCACCGTTAACGCTCTGCTCCTGTTATTTCCTCCCTCCTTACCACCCTTTCCCCTCCTGTTGCCCCCCTCCCAGTTCTCACTTGCTTGGCTTGCCTTGCCCCATCACAGCCTACCTCCCGGCCTTGTCTGAGTTCTACGTCTATAACACTACAGGGTATGCTATGTGACTTTTGAGACGTCTCAAAAGTCTATAACACTACAGGGTATGCTATGTGACTTTTGAGACGTCTCAAAAGTCTAAAACACTACAGGGTATGCTATGTGACTTTTGAGACGTCTCAAAAGTCTATAACACTACAGGGTATGCTATGTGACTTTTGAGACGTCTCAAAAGTCTATAACACTACAGGGTATGCTATGTGTGCCAGCAGACCCAGTCAACGCTGTTGTCAGCTGTTGAAATGTCTCTCCCCACTTTCTTCCTCTCTTCTCCTTTCCCCCCACCTCCTATCCCCCTTTTTCCCCCACCCTGTTCTCCTCTGTCTGGCGGGTTGCCCCATCAGAGCCGGGTGGCATTGTTCGAAGGCTATGTGCGCCAGCAGACCCTCTCGGCACCGTCGCTAGTGAAAGCCTTTATCCCGCAATGGGTGTACCGGAGAATGTGAGTTGCATGCGGTCCTGCTTTCAATGGGGGCACAGGAGGGAGGGAGGGAGTGGATGGGGCACTGGAGAGTGTGAGTCGTACGTACTCATTGCTGCTCTCGATAGGTGTTCAGGAGATTTTTAGTTGCCTTGGCTACTGCTTTCAATGGGTGTGTAGGGGAGTGTGAGGAGAAGGCAGATTTGTTTTTCCACTACCCACGCCACTGTTTTTCCGCACTCCTCTGCCTCTGCTATCACCTCACCTCACTCTCCACGCACCCCTCTCCACGTTTCTCCACCGCTCTCCGCCCATGCCTCTGCAGCTGGGTGGCAGTGCTACCTGGGCCCACCATGAGTGATGGACGCCAGACATTCCGCCTCGCTCTCTATCCCTCCATGGCTGTGAGTGTGTGCATGCATGCATGGCTGTGAGTGTGTGCATGCATGCATGGCTGTGAGTGTGTGCATGCATGCATGGCTGTGAGTGTGTGCATGCATGCATGGCTGTGAGTGCATGCCCGCATGGCATTCCGCCTCGCTCTCTATCCCTCCATGGCTGTGAGTGCCCGCGTGCATGGGTGTGAGTGCATGGGTGTGAGTGCATGGGTGTGAGTGCATGGGTGTGAGTGCATGGGTGTGAGTGCATGGGTGTGAGTGCATGGGTGTGAGTGCATGACCTGCTACAGTTTCGCGCGCCCTATTTTGGCATAGCCCTGCGCGTGCCTGTGTGGCCCCTCCTCTTCTCCTCTCCTGTCTGCTGCAGTTTGGCGCGCGCTATTTCGAAACACCACTGCACGTGCGTTTTCCCCTCAGAAAGAGCCCCCTTTCCCCCTCGTCCCCTGCTCTTCTCTTCCTTCCCTTCACGACCTGCTGCAGTTTGGTGTGCCCTAGGCATAGCACTGCATGTGTGCCGCATTCACATGACCAATCTGGACTCCCCTATGCCCCTCTCTCCACCAGTCTTTCACTCCCTCCCGTCGACCCCCCTCCTCCCCCTTCACAACCCACTGCAGTTTGGAGCACCCTATTTCGACATAGCACTGCATGTGTGCCGCATTCACATGACCAATCTGGACTCCCCTATGCCCCTCTCTCCACCAGTCTTTCACTCCCTCCCGTCGACCCCCCTCCTCCCCCTTCACAACCCACTGCAGTTTGGAGCACCCTATTTCGACATAGCACTGCATGTGTGCCGCTTTCACATGACCAATCTGGACTCCCCTATGCCCCTCTCTCCACCAGTCTTTCACTCCCTCCCGTCGACCCCCCTCCTCCCCCTTCACAACCCACTGCAGTTTGGCGCACCCTATTTCGACATAGCTCTGCATGTGTGCCGCATTCACATGACCAAGCTGGACTCTGCCAACCCTGTACTCGTTATAGAGGACCCCGTTCATGGTATGACACCTCCTTCTCTCATGCTACTCTTTCCCAACACCCTATGCGATTCCTCTTTCTCTCAGTGTGGCTTATTTGTGATCTTATTAACTTAACTATTTCTGGGGGGGGGGGGGGGGGACCTCGCACTGAGTGTGGCTTATTTGTGAACTTAGTTGCATTGCTGTGTTGCTAATGGCTTTAAGTTTTGAGACGTTTCATAACTCGGCTTATCTCTGCTCTCTTTTGAGGCGCCTCAAAAGTTGTGTGATGTGTGTTGTGTTTGTTGCACTCTATGCCTATGTCTCTCCATCATACACGTTGATGTGCATCACATCTCATGTGCGCATTGCTGTGCCCATCTGCCTGCATGTTCACGCACGTGTGCATGCATGTACATGCACGCATGTGTCCAACCCCACATGTCCGCATGTGTGTGTGTGTATTGTTTATTTATGCATGTGCGTGTGACTGCATGTTTAAATGTGTGTGACTGCATGCCTGGATGCATGTGTGCATGCATCTGTCCACACCAGCGGAGAAGGGCAAGTGGAAGTTTGTGAGTGACAAGGACTCACCCGACCCCTCCCATGTGTGTGTGCATGCCCGCTTGCATCCCTGCATGCATCCCCCCATGCATCCCCCCATGGCCTCTATGGCAGCGGAGAAGGGCAAGTGGAAGTTTGTGAGCGACAAGGATTCACCCGACCCCTCGCAGATATTCCGCCTGCACGACGCCTGCCGGGGAACACCACGGGTATTTTTCTTATTCCCTCACACTCTTCCCTCCCTCTCACAATTCCCTCCTTTCTCACTCTTCCCTCGTCTCCACTCTTCTCACTTCTCCTCTCCCTTCTCAGATATTCCGCCTGCATTACGGGGAATGGCATGGGTGACTTCTTGCTTCCCTCTCTCCCCTCCCTACTCTCTCTGCTCGCATCCTCTATCTCCTCTCTCCTCTCTCTGCTCGCATCCTCTCTCCCCTCCCTCCTCTCTCCACCCTCACTCCCTCTTGCCTCTCTCTCCTCTCTTTCTTCTCACTCCTCTTCCCATCCCTCCATCTCCTCTCATTTCTCTGCTCTCTCATTCTTCTCTCCTTTCTCACCCTTCTCTCCCCTGCCCTCCCAACCTTCTCTCCCCTTTCCCTCTTCCCACACACACATGCACGTTGGCGTGCCCTTTCACCTAATCCCTCACATCGACGTTAACAAGAGACGATTTTTGAGGCGCCTAAAAAAACCTTCTCTCTCCTTTCCCTCTTCCCACACACACATGCACATTGGCATGCCCTTTCACCTAATCCCTCACATCGACGTTTCCGAACCACATTCTCAAGTTTTGAGGCGTCTAAAAAAAAACTTTCACCTAATCCCTTACACCGACGTTTCCAAACCACATTCTCAAGCCTCAATCCCTCCCATTCTCGCACCCTCCAATCTCTACCTACCCCATGCAGGCTCGCACCCAGTCAGCCAATCAGCATCCGCCACCTCAGCATGTGGCATCCTCTCCCCACACCCCACAATCACATGCACCATCACCGGAAACCCAGCTCCCAGCGTCTCGCTCTCACACTGCCCCCTCCTCCATTGACCATCCCCCCCCACCACAGATGCACCCCACCATGTACCCCCAACCTCCCGCCGCTCCTCCTGTTTCCCCTTTTGCTGCTCCTCCTGCTCCTGCTGCTGCTGCTGCTGCTGCTGCTTATGATGCTTATGCTGCGGCCTATTACACACAGCAGCAGGCACAACAGCAGCAGCACGCATGGCAGCAGTATCAGCAGCAGCAGCAGCAGGCATGGCAGCAGCAGCAGCAGGCATGGCAGCAGCAGCAGCAGCAGCAGCAGCAGCAGGGAGGGTGTTCTGGAGCAGCAGAAGGAGCAGGAGGGATGACATCAGCATCATCTGAATCCAGGGGTGTGGTGAACGTGCACGCGTGGCAGGATGACGTGGACGAGGACACGGCGTTCCAGCTGGCACTGACTGAGTCGATGCACACTGCCAGCACCGCTGGTTCTTCCCGAGCCAACGCTCCTGGTGCTTCTAGTGCTTCTAGTGCCGCCGCTGCGGCTGCTCAGGGGATGAGCAGAGGGGAGGGAGGAGCAGACGGGTTTATTCTCACCCGCTCCTCCTCCGAGCCTCAGTCCAGATCCGGACGCTCCCTCTCCTCATCTTCCTCTTCCGCTGCTGGTGTTGGTGCTGCTGCCTCTGGTGCATCCACTTCTTCTCATCGCTCCTCCAGGTCCGTTTCAGCCTCTGCTGATCGCCACCCCTTTGCCCCACCTGCTGCTCCTATCCCCTCTTCCTCTGCTGCTGCCGGCTCTTCCTCTGGCATTGCCGCTGGTCCTGCAGCTGGCTCTGCGGCTGGTTCTGCAGGTACAGCTGGCACTGCTGGCACTGGTGTTGCAGCAGGCGTGGAAGGGGGTAGAATGCGCGACGAAATTGCGAATCAGTTCTCCTCTGTGGCACCGGCGTTCAACCGAGCAGCAGCAGCCGTGTCGTCGCTCTTTGCTTCTGGCCCACCGTCAGCACCCCCTGTGGATGGTCCTGCTTCCACATCAGGAGCATCAGTGGGAGCAGGGAGAGTGCCAGGAGCAGCCGTGACAGGCCAGCCAGCTTCAGCAGCAGCAGCAGCACCAGCAGCAGCATCAGTATCACCAGCACCAGCAGGAGCAGCTCCAGCTTTCAATGCTAGAGCAGCAGTGGCTGCTGAGGCAATTGCAACAGCAGCAGGGGCTCTCACGTCAGCAACAGCCGCTGTAGCCGCGACGGCATGGCAGCGAACCACGGGCCACCGTGCTTCCTTCTTCGACCCTCCTCTCATCCAGTTCTCCCCTCCCAGCAGCCCCAGGCGAAACCCACACCCTCCCATCCACCCTCAGGCTCAACCACCTATCATCACCCACCACGTTCAACCACCTATCACCCATCAGCACCCACCTGTTTCCATGAACCCTCAGGTGCAACCACCCAACTCCCATCCCCATACACCTGCCAGCGTCCCATCCCCTGCTGCTGCAGCGTTGGTAGCTATTCCTGGTGCGTCTTTCTCGTCTGTAGGCGGCTCGTTTGCTGGTCTTCCTTCGCCAGGAGCAGCATCTGTAGCGGAGCTACATCCAAGCTACAACCCTGAGAGGGTGCGGGCAGAGCTCGCCAGGGCACAGAGCCAAGGGCACGGAGCGGCAGGAGGAAGGGCAGCAGGAGGAAGGGCAGCAGGTACATCGACAGGCGCAGGAGCAGGAGCAAGAGCAGGAGACGAGGCAGGGGCAGAGGCAGGGGCGGGAGCAGGAGTAGCAGCAACGGGAGGGGCAGCAGGAGAGGCATCTAGAGAGGGTCAGTGCGTGATTTGCTGGGATTCAGCAGCGCAGGCAGTGTGTGTGCCTTGCGGGCACGTGGCGGGGTGTGTGGAGTGTCTAGCTGAGGTTAGGTCTAAGGGCTGGGGTTGCCCTGTCTGCCGAGCTCCCATTCGAGAAGTGGTGAAGATCTTCCATGTTTAGATTTCGTGCTTGCTTGATGTTTGCGGTGAGAACATCATTTTTGCTTTGCATATTCCTAGCCTAACTGTGCTACACTGACACCTTGCTAAGCATGACATCTGCTTCAGCAAGTTCACATTTTTCAAATATAACAGATACACCAGTGATATACATTGAGGAGGTGTAGTGTTTTTGAAATGTATTATGCACTTGGAAAGTCTCATCATATGTGATTGGTTGGTGTGCTGTTGCGTGTTTCTCGGGCTGCCTCATCTGTCGCTTTCCATAACCGAGATCGCAGGTTTTGCGTAAAAACTGGAGGTTCGTTGCAACTCATCTGAGCATAGTAGGTTTTAACTGTTACTCTTCATAAAGACGACATTGTCCAAAAAAAAAAAATGTAAATTCTTCATCATTCGAGGTGTTAAGAGCTTCAGGTGTATCAGTTGATTCCATTCTTTTAAGTGCAGGTTAATTAAATTGGTTTTTGTTTTTCATTGATGAAAGATACACTAAGAGTGTACAATACATAGATTTGTTATACGCGTTTCACGTTCTGCGCATGCTGTGGCACTTGCGCATTTCGCGGGCCTGCCGCGTCAACCGCTTTCCCGGCCCAGATTCCAACGAGTGAGGCGGTCAACGGGCTTCAACGATAGCGCAGGTTCTATGGAGCCCCTTGGCGTGACCAAGCAGCACAGCGGATCAGTCGGAAGCTCATTTGTGAGTCATTTTGGCTTCGCAGGTTGGGATTGTAATACAAAAGGAACATTGTTGAATCTCCCTGTCCTGAAATGCGCCTACGAAACCTGAGATAGAGGCGCAAGTCGCGGATTTGACCTGGCGGGAAATAGATATCCCGCCAAAACTAATCGCATCGCATCCTTTCACACCCCCAAGGCGAAAACGCTTTCAAGCCGCGTCCCCTCCCCACCACCACACCACATTAGTATAAAAACATGCACCCGTCACTCACATCAGCATCCTCCTCAGTACTCTCACTCGAGCTTTCTCGCAAATCGAGCTCTTGCTGCTCGCACATTTCCACTGTTTTCTAGCTCGTCCCCGCGTAGCAAGTGCTCGGACTCCGAGCGGAGAGAGTCGTTCCTGCACGATGGCCTGCAAAATGCGAGTCACAGTGTTGGCTCTTCTGCTGCTCGCGCTTTTAGCGGCGTCGGCGTTTGTAACGCCCGGTGAGTGTCCCACTTTGTTGCCCACTTTTCTTTCCTCTAATCACAACCATTTCCAATACGGTTCACCTCCATTCTCTATAATGCCAATTTATTATTTCAATTCCATCAATTAACTTGCGCCCTTATCGTGCATTCTATATAAATCGGCATTTACGATATTATATAACGTGTCTTGTCCATCGGCGCAGGATCCGCGAGGTCCCTCGCTCCGCGCCGCAGCCTTGTTCTTAAAGCACAATCACTTCTGAAGGCAACAGCAACCAGACCAGTTTTGATAACTGTTGATTTGGGCGACGGCAATGAAGTTGATTTGGGCGGCGGCAGTGGCGGAGATTTGGGCAGCGGCAGTGGCGGAGATTTTGGCGACGGCATTGGCGGAGATTTGGGCGGCGGCAGTGGTGGAGCCCTGGGCGGCGGCAGTGGCGGAGACCTGGGCGGCGGAAGTGGCGGAGACCTGGGCGGCGGAAGTGGCGGAGACCTGGGCGGCGGAAGTGGCGGAGACCTGGGCGGCGGAAGTGGCGGAGACCTGGGCGGCGGAAGTGGCGGAGACCTGGGCGGCGGAAGTGGCGGAGACCTGGGCGGCGGAAGTGGCGGAGACCTGGGCGGCGGAAGTGGCGGAGACCTGGGCGGCGGAAGTGGCGGAGACCTGGGCGGCGGAAGTGGCGGAGACCTGGGCGGCGGAAGTGGCGGAGACCTGGGCGGCGGAAGTGGCGGAGACCTGGGCGGCGGAAGTGGCGGAGACCTGGGCGGCGGAAGTGGCGGAGACCTGGGCGGCGGAAGTGGCGGAGACCTGGGCGGCGGAAGTGGCGGAGACCTGGGCGGCGGAAGTGGCGGAGACCTGGGCGGCGGAAGTGGCGGAGACCTGGGCGGCGGAAGTGGCGGAGACCTGGGCGGCGGAAGTGGCGGAGACCTGGGCGGCGGAAGTGGCGGAGACCTGGGCGGCGGAAGTGGCGGAGACCTGGGCGGCGGAAGTGGCGGAGACCTGGGCGGCGGAAGTGGCGGAGACCTGGGCGGCGGAAGTGGCGGAGACCTGGGCGGCGGAAGTGGCGGAGACCTGGGCGGCGGAAGTGGCGGAGACCTGGGCGGCGGAAGTGGCGGAGACCTGGGCGGCGGAAGTGGCGGAGACCTGGGCGGCGGAAGTGGCGGAGACCTGGGCGGCGGAAGTGGCGGAGACCTGGGCGGCGGAAGTGGCGGAGACCTGGGCGGCGGAAGTGGCGGAGACCTGGGCGGCGGAAGTGGCGGAGACCTGGGCGGCGGAAGTGGCGGAGACCTGGGCGGCGGAAGTGGCGGAGACCTGGGCGGCGGAAGTGGCGGAGACCTGGGCGGCGGAAGTGGCGGAGACCTGGGCGGCGGAAGTGGCGGAGACCTGGGCGGCGGAAGTGGCGGAGACCTGGGCATCGGCAATGGCGGAGAGCAGGGCGGACCCGGCGAAGAGCAGGGTGGACCCGGCGGAGAGCAGGGCGGACCTGCCGGAGAGCAGGGCGGACCTGGCGGAGAGCAGGGCGGACCTTGCGGAGAGCAGGGCGGACACGGCGGACAGCAGGGCGGCCGGCAGGGCGGACAGGGCGGACCGCCGCAGCGAGGTCAGCAGGGCGGAGAGCAGGGCGGACAGCAAGGCGGACGTGGCGGACCACCGCAGTAGGGCGGACAGCAGAGCGGATAGCAGGGCGGATTTGGCGGACCGCCGCAGCAGGGCGGACAGCAGAGCGGATTTGGCGGACAGCAGGGCGGCCAGCAGGGACCGCCGCAGGGCCTTACTGGCGGACAGCAGAGCGGACATCAGAGCGGACAGCAGGGCGGACAGCAGGGCGGATCTGGCGGACCGCCGCAGCAGGGCGGACCTGGCGGGCCGCCGCAGCAGGGCGGACAGCAGGGCGGACAGCAGAGTGGATTTGGCGGACAGCAGGGCGGCCAGCAGGGACCGCCGCAGGGCTTTACTGGCGGACAGCAAAGCGGACTGCAGGGCGGACAGCAGGGCGGACAGCAGGGCGGATCTGGCGGACCCCCGCAGCAGAGCGGGCAGCAGGGCGGACAGGGCGGATCGCCGCAGCAGGGCAGACAGGGTGGAGCAGGCAGCTCGAGATTCGCTACCACTCAGAGTGTGAGAGACAGTGCGATCAATACAACAGGTGGCAAGGGTGGCAAGGGAGGGAAGGGAGGGAAGGGCGGCAAGGGAGGCAAGGGAGGAAAGGGCGGAAAGGGTGGCAAGGGCGGAAAGAAGTGAGCTACGAAGACCCCTTCCGTTTCTGTTAGATGCTTTATTGCCATGTTGCTTGTGATTGTCTGTAGATTACGTTTGTATCATCCCATGTTGTAACATTTTTGTCTTTTGAATATTTTTGTATGTTTTTATCAAGCAAGTTATCCAGATTTCTATCCAAAACAAAGCTCATATGAGCAGGAAACTTCAGCCCATTTCTCTGTAGCATAACGCATCCTCCAACCGATTTCCCTGAATCACAATTTGATTAGACATTTTTTTTCTGTTTCTGTTGCACAATTTGATTGTACCTATTTGAATGGTGATGCCGTACCTAGTAGTATCAATCTGCCTCCAGTCCCCTGTGGATCATGCCTTAAATGGCCCAAGCAGAATTGCTGGCTGGGGTGAGCTGGCTGTGAGACTCAGGACGCGTCCCGCACTAAAACCCCGGTTGATGCATTTCACAACTAGCAGAACCTTTTCCAACCCCACCAGAAATCGATCCTACGCAGGCTCGATCGAGGGAGGGGACGCGTCCTCAGCTGCTCTCTGTCCTAATACTGTGTGCGGTTGTACCGTAGTTACATTGGATGTACACCTGTAGAGTACGGTACAATGCCTTATGCAAAAGCCACCGGTAGAGCTGCCTGGTTTCTGCTGCTTAGCTAAGCTGAGCTACTGATGAGGGGTAAGGGGATGGCTGGCTGTTCAATTCATCTACAGTGTTATAATATTTGGGGTGCATGAAGTGGAGTTGAAGGTAGTTGATAAGAATGTTACGAACTACTGTATTGTTATGAACATTGAAAGCAGAAACGTTACTGAGTGTAGCTGTGGCTATCAACTGTGGCTTGGCTAGCTACACCATCTTGAAGAGGAACCACTATCCATATGTCAAATGTAATTCTATGCTTGTAGGCTACAGTGAGTAGCATAATAGGGGGTACAGTTGTTAGGGTTGCATATTTGTACTCTCACACTTTCTAGTTTCGGTCATTCCGTTGCATTCCTATTCTGAGATGGTATCACGAGTAGGTTAGATCCTCGTTCGTTTTTAGCTAGCCTTCGCGCCCTACGCGCCCTCCGTGCTCTCGCGCCCTCCGCGCCCTCCTCGCGCCTAGCCCGCGCCCTCCCACGCTGTCCAGCCTGTCGCGCGCCCTTCTTAGACCTCCGCGCGCCCTCCAAAACCGTCGTGCACCCTCCTTAGACCGCCGCGCGCCCTCCTCAACCGTCGCGCGCCCTCCTTAACCGTCGCGCACCCTCCTCAACCGTCGCGCGCCCTCCTTAGACCGTCGCGTGCCCTCCCTCCGCCTGTCGCGCGCCCTCCTCCGTCAACCCTTCCCGCACACCAGCGTGCGCTTACCGCACACCTGCGTGCACTTACCACACACCTGCGTGCACTTACTGCACACCTGCGTGCACTTACCGCATCACTCTGTGTGCGCTTCCCGCACATCTGCGTGCGCTTCCCGCACACCTGCGTGCGCTTACAGCACACCTGCGTACACTTACCGCACACCTGCGTGCGCTTACCGCACACTTGCGTACACTTACCGCATCACTCTGTGCGCTTACTGCATCTCTCTTCCCTTCATCTGTTCACCGGTCCCACGCCATTCATACTGCACTTGGCTCCCGGCTCAGCGGCTGGCAGCCGCTCTTCCCTCCGGTAGCGCCACCTAGGTTCGGTTAGAGCCCCGCCCCACGACTGTTTTCTTGCCGATTGTCTCTCGTCGGTTTCCCTGCTGGCGTCCCTAGCCCTCCGTAGTTTTCCTCCTCGTTCTTAGCTCCGCCTCCGCCGTGCTCCAGTCGCCTCTAGCATGGGCTCCGCTATGGAAGCCCGTCGCCTCCGTTTCGATGCTGAAGGACGCCCGATCGAGTTCGGTACCTGGAGCGCCAGACCACACGTTTCCTCACCAGCCAGCGTCAGGACGGTGCCACTCTGTGGGCCCACGCGTCGGGTGCTCTCGCGGCACCCCCGTCCCCCGCCGCCCTGCCGACCGCCCCGGAGCCGACTCCTACGGCCCAGGCGGACTACGACCGTCGGGTCCTGGCTCGGGACGTGTGGCTCTCTTGTGACGCGGCCGCCGCCCTCACGCTATCGGAGCTTCTCCCCCCGACTGAGGCCGCTCACTTTGACCAGGTGGAGACAGCCAAGGGGGTTTGGGATGCTATTGTGGCTCGCTATTCCACCCCCTCCTCCGCCTCCCTCAGTCGCCTCCTCATGCCGTTCGTGTTTCCCGACCTAGGCTCGTTTGCGATTGTTTCCGACCTACTGACTCACCTCCGCTCGCTTGACGCCGGTTTTTGTTCGGCCTGTACCGACGCACAGCTCCTTGTTGCTCCCCCCCCCCCCATATGGCTCACTGTGCACTGGTTAGTCACCCGTCTCCCTGACCGCCTTGCCACTGCCCGCGACGCGCTTCTTCAGAAGCACCCCACTGAACTCACTATAGACCTCCTTCAGACTGCTCTCGGGACCATCGAGAGCAACCTCCTCACCGTTGCCTCCGCCACTGATGCGGTGGCCCCCCGTCTCTTTGCGGGGTGTGCTGCCCCTCAGCTTCCCACTTTCACCGCTACCCGCGCTTCTACTGTTGTGTCGGTCTCTGAGGACACCGCTGCCGTATCTGCCGCAGACTGGCAGAAATGGGGCAAGAGTGGAAAGAAGGGCGGGAAGGGGGGAGGTGGGGGCAGAGGAGGTGGCGGTGGAGGGGGCGGTGGAGGTGGGAGCGGCGGTGGTGGTGGAGGCGGCGGCGGCGGCGGTGGCGGCGGCGGCGGCGGCGGTGCACCAGGGGGAGGGGGCCTTGGAGGAGGCGCAGGACAGACAGGTCCACCCACAGGTGGTGGCCCGACCGGTGGGGGTGCTGCCCCCCAGCAGCAGCAGCCACAGCAGGGACAGCAGCAGCAGCAGGGACAGCAGCAACAGCAGGCACCGCAGTAGTTCCAGCAGTGGGGGCCCCCGCTACAGTGGGGTCCGCAGCAGCACTGGGGTCCCCCGCGCAGTGGGGTCCGCGAGGCCCTGGGAGCACCGGCCGCAGCAGCAGCTCTTCCAGCTGGGCCCCTCGCCCCCCTCGCCGTGACGTTAGCCACTGGTTCCTCACCGAACCGGGCAGCCCTTGTCTCTGTGGTCGCGACGACCACTCCGCCGCGCGGTGCTTTCGCCGCCTCGACGACCTCTACCGGGCTCGTTGGGGCCCCCTGGCGGTCACGCCTCGCTGGTCTCGTCTGTTAACCCGCAAGGTTGATGTCTTTGATTTGTCCATGGACGATGCGCGTCAACATGCTTTGTATGTTGATGCTGACTTTAGTGCTGAGGGATCTGTCTGCTCGCGTGTTCGTAGTTTAGCCTGCTTGCCTCCTGCTAGTGTAGCCTTGTGCCTGCCTAGCTTAGGTGCTTGTGTTGCTGCTCTAGGTGCTTGTGTAGAGACTGGGTCAGGTGACCCTCCGCCTGAGGCCTCTCTGTCGTTCACACTAGACTCGGGCGCGTCTCAGTGCTTCTTCCGCGACCACACGACCCTTACGCCACTCCTCACTCCTGTGTCAGAGGCTCTGGCTGATCCTACCTCTGGACCAGCCGTTGCGCGTAGCTCCACCACCCTCCCGTGCCCTGTGGTCCCCTCTGGTGTCCTTCGCGGCCTCCACATCCCCTCGTTCACTCGGAACTTGGTGGGTGTTGGATACCTCCAGGACAAGGGGATCACGGTTACCTTCGTGGGGGGTGGGCGGACTGCAGTCTGTATAGACGCTACCACACGTGCTGTTCTGGCCACGTTCACTAGGGAACCCCGCTCCGGTCTCTACGTTCTCCACACCGAGCGCTCTCAGGTCGCGTCCTCCCCTCAGGTCGTTGCGTCTCCTCCGGCCCAGGTCCGAAGTCCAGTTGTGGTGTCTAGCCAGGTAGTCGTGTCCGGTCCGTTCGCTGTGTCCAGTCCAGTCGCTGCGTCTTGCTCCTGTCGCTCTCTAGCCCACCGCACCGTCCTGTGGCACCACCGCCTTGGCCACCCGTCGATCCCTCACCTTCGTGGCATGCTCGGTCAGGGACTTGTCACAGATCTCCCACGCACCTTCCCGTTGCTCCCTCTCTCGCTTGCCCCTCCTTGCTCTCAGTGCGTCGCCGGTCGCTTACGCGCCACTCCCCACTCCTCCTCCCTTCGTCCGGCCACCGCTCCCTTCGAGACTCTCCACTTGGACGTCTGGGGCCCTGCCCCGACGCAGGGGTCTGGGAGGGAGCGTTACTTTCTGGTGGTCGTCGACGACTTCTCCATGTACACCACAGTGTTCCCTCTTGCGAAGAAGTCCGAGGTGACTGCTACGCTGATCAGGTGGCTTCTAGCCACTGAGGGCACTCGTGGTCGTCGAGTCAGTAGTCTCCACTCCGACCGTGGGGCGAGTTTCGCTCCGGCATTCTCGGCGGATTCTGCGGCGAACAGGGCATCACACAGTCCAGGACGATGCCAGCGTCCCCACAGCAGAATGGGGTTGCTGAGCGCCGCATAGGGCTGGTCATGGACATCGCCTGCACGTCCATGATCCATGCCCGTGCGCCCCATTTTCTGTGGCCCCACGCGGTTCGCTTCGCCGCACACCAGCTGAACCTCCAACCGCGTGTCTCGCGGCCCGAGGCTTCACCGACCAGTCTTTGGACTGGTTCCCCTGGTGTTGGGTCGGCCTTTCGAGTCTGGGGCTGCCTTGCGCTTGTTCGCGACACCTCAGCGGACAAGCTCTCGGCACGCGCCGTCCCCTGTGTCTTCCTTGGTTTCCCAGTGGACTCTGCCGACTGGTCCTTTTACCACCCGTCCCTCCACCAGTTCCTAGACTCCCGTGACATCCGGTTTGACGAGTCTTTGTCCTACTACACCCGGTACCTCTGTCGAGGTCTCCCGGTACCCCCTCCCCCCCTTTTTCTAGCACCCTCTCCTCCTCCTGCTCCTGCTCCTCCGGTACCCCCTCCCCCCCCTGAACCTGCCCCGTCTGGTGTGTCCCACGCTACCCCTCTACCCTCGGTCGCGCGTCAGGTAGCGTCTCCCTCCCCGCAGTCCTACTCCAAGTCCCCTCAGCAGCCTTCGGCACTTCCGCGACAAGTTCCTGTGGACTTGGTTGGTGTTGGAGCTGGAGGTGTAGCCGCTGGCGGTGCGCGGTCTGGGGGTGCTCGTTTGCGGGGTGCTGGAGCTGGAGGGGCTGGTGCAGGTGGCGCTAGCTCTGGGGGTGCTGGAGTTGGAGGTGCTAGCACTGGAGGTGCTAGTTCTGGGGGTGTTGGAGTTGGGGGTCCTGACACTGGAGGTGTTGGTTCTGGGGGTGCTGAGTCTGAGGAGTCTGACGCTGGAGACCCTGGTTCTGCGGAGTCCACTCCGCCTCCCCACCGCCACGACACGCGTCTTCAGGCTGCCCGTTGGCGTGAGCGTGAGGAGCACGAGCGGTTGGAGAGGGAGCTGCAGGAGCTGCGGGTGCTGGACCTTCTGGAGCAGCAGCGGCAGCAACAGCAGCAGCAGCAGCAGCAGCAGCAGCCGCAGCCGCCGCCGCAGCAGCCTCCGCAGCTTCCTTAGGAGCGGCAGTTGTTCCCACCTGTGAGTGGCCTGCGGGCCCTTGGCCTTTCCTCCTCTCCTCCTGTCCGCTCCCAGTCTCCTCCTGTGTTTGTTCCTCTGTTGCCTCCTCCTGACGACCGTCCGGCGGTCTGGTCTTCTCCTCCTCCTCAGTCTCCTCCTCCTTCTGTCCGTCGCGACTTGATCACCCGTTGTCCTCCGCGTGCTCGTCACTCGTCCCCTGTTACTGACCTCCACACTGCCCTCCTTTGTTCGTCTCGTCGTCGTTCTCCTTCTCCTGTGTCCGTTCTCCTGTCTCCTCCTCCATCCTCTCTCACAACCCTCCCCACTCCTATCTCTGACTACTACCGCGCTGTTCGTCCTGTTGCCGCACGTGTTCTCGCCACTCTTGTCACCGACTCTCGTTTCCCTCCGTCGTCTGCCTCGGCTCTCACTGCCGCTGTCGCTGAGTTTGCTGCCGCCAGCCGCCTTGACTACGCCACCCGTGTGGTGCCAGCTCCTCCCTACCGTCCTCTGTCCGTCGGGGGTGGGTTTGCCCTTGGCTGTAACGTCCTAGAGGACAGAGAGTTTGAGCTGGAGTACTGGGCAGCCGCTTCTCCCTCTGTGTGTGCCATGCTGCTCTCCCCTGAGGGAGACCCCGACGCCCTTGACATACTAACTCCTCGCACTTACCGCGAGGCAGTGTCAGGGGCGTGGGCCTTCAGTGGAAAGCGGCTATGGACTCAGAGTTGGCGTCTTGGAGATCCACAGGCACCTACGTCGACGCAGTTCCCCCTCCCAGGGCGAACGTAGTCGATGGCATGTGGCTCTTCAAGGTGAAGCGGCCGCCTGGAGCACCGCCAATGTTCAAGGTGCGCTACGTGGCTAGGGGCTTCAGTCAGCGTGAGGGAGTTGACTTCTTCCAGACCTCCGCCTCGACCCCGAAGATGACTACTCTTTGGGTGCTACTCCACATAGCAGCGCAGCGAGACTACGAGCTGCACTCCTTCGACTTCTCCACTGCGTTCCTCCAGGGCCGACTGCACGAGGAGATCTGGCTGCGCCGTCCTCCTGGCTTCACTGGCACCTTCCCACCTGGGACCTAGTGGAGCCTGAGGCGACCAGTCTACGGTCTCCGCCAGTCGCCCCGTGAGTGGCACGACACTCTTCGCTACACACTTCGTGACCTTGGGTTCAGCCCGTCCTCCGCCGACCCGTCGCTGTTTGTTCGAGCGGGTTCTACTCCTTTCTTTATCCTTGTCTACGTCGAAGACTTGGTGTTTGCTACCGCAGATAGGGCAGCACTGGCTCAGGTGAAGTCTGAACTGCAGAAGAGACACAAGTGCACTGACTTGGGTGAGCTGCAGCGCTACCTTGGCTTGCAGATCACCAGGGACAGAGCCGCTCACACCATCACACTGACGCAGTCACACATGGTGCAGCAGGTCCTTCGGCGGTTCGACTTCCAGTTCTCCACCACACAGCCCACTCCTCTTGCTGTTGACCACCGACTCACTGGCCCCTTTCCTGATGAGCCCTTTGAGCCCAGTGGTCCCTACGCAGAGCTTGTGGGCTGCCTCATGTACCTGATGACTTGTACTCGGCCGGACCTCGCCTTTCCCCTCAGCATCCTCTCTCGCTTTGTTGCGACTGGGAGACACTGTCCTGTCCACTGGACAGCTGCTGTGAGGGTGGCGAAGTACCTGGCGACTACATCAGGCATGGGGCTTGTGCTTGGAGGGACTCAGCCAGTGGCGTTGACTGGTCACTGCGACTCTTCCTACACTGACGACGTGGAGACTCAGCGCTCGACTCAGGGTTACTGCTTCAGTCTGGGAGCTGGTGCTGTGTCGTGGAGGTCTACACGGTCGTCTTCTGTGGCTACTTCCAATTCAGAGGCAGAGATCTACGCTGGTGCCATGGCGGCACAGGAGCTTCGCTGGTTGACCTTCTTACTCGCCGACCTTGGTGAGCGGCCTCGCTCTGCACCGACCTTGTACGCTGACAACAAGGCCATGATCCTCCTGTGTCAAGAGCCTTGACTGGAGAGCAGAGTGAAGCATATTGACATGAGGTACTTCCTCCTGCGAGAGCTGCAGCGACGCGGCCAGGCACGCCTGGACTTTGTGGCCTCAGAGGCCAACACTGCAGACGTCTTCACCAAGGCCTTGGCGCTTGGTGATCACCACAGGTTCTGTGTGCAGTTGGGGCTTGTTGAGGTAGGCCCTCGGTTGCTGTAGTCTTGTTGTTTGCTCTGCTTGTTGTGCTTCCTATTTATATCCTAGTGAACTCTTGAACTGGCCTTGTGGCCGCTTGCTTGCGCTCGGAATTTGTGTGGTGTCCTTGAGATCCACCCTGAGCTTGCCTTGTTTCTTGCTTTGACTGGTCTTGTGACCGTTTGTTCACCTTGCTTGCTTTGATGCCCCTCACTTAGCCTATGGGGGTGTGTCAAATGTAATTCTATGCTTGTAGGCTACAGTGAGTAGCACAATAGGGAGTACAGTTGTTAGGGTTGCATATTTGTACTCTCACACTTTCTAGTTTCGGTCATTCCGCTGCATTCCTATTCTGAGACCATATTGCAACGCAAGTGCTTGAAGGAAGAATATCAGTGTTCCCTCAGTATGACATGTGTGGCCACAGCTTTGCAGTACACATTTCAGTACATCACTGCCCATGCTTATATCCAGGTTTGTACAAGTGCATCAAAAGAATATTTGGAAAGGTAGGAGAGGGGGTGGAGGGGTGGGAAGAGAGGGGGAGGAGCAGGAAGGCAAGAAACGGACTTCTCTAATCGCAAACAGATTTGATTCTGTCTCCTCGCACCACCTTTGGCTGCCTGAATGCTGGCTGCATCCTGGCTGCACGGCTCTATTGCTGGTAGACTAACCCCATTTGTCAAATGTAATTCTATGCTTGTAGGCTACAGTGAGTAGCACAATAGGGAGTACAGCTGTTAGGGTTGCATATTTGTACTTCCACACTTTCTAGTTTCACCATTCCGTTGTTCGCTAACTTTGAGATGGTATCATGAGTAGGTGTCGATCCTCTCGCCTAGCCTAGCCTAGCTCGCGCCCTAGCGCCCTCCGCGCCCTTGCGCCCTAGCACCCTCCGCGCCCTCCACGCCCTACGCGCCCTCCGCGCCCTTGCACCCTAGCACCCTCCGCGCCCTCTGCGCCCTCCGCGCCTTAGCCTCCGCGCCCTCCGCGCCATCTCCGCGCCTTAGCGCCCTCCTCCTCCGCGCGTTAGCGCCCTCCGCGCCCCTAGCCTGCGCCCCTAGCCCGACGCCTAGGCCCACGCCCTAGCCCGTCGCCCAGGCGCCCACCCTAGCCCGTCGCCCAGGCGCACGCCCTAGCCCGTCGCCCAGGCCCACGCCCTAGCCCGTCGCCCAGGCCCAGGCCCACGCCCTAGCCCGTCGCCCAGGCGCCCGCCCTAGCCCGTCGCCCAGGCGCCCGCCCTAGCCCGTCGCCCAGGCGCCCGCCCGAGCCCGTCACCCAGGCGCCCGCCCCAGCCCGTCGCCCAGGCGCCCGCCCCAGCCCGTCGCCCATGCGCCCGCCCCAGCCCGTCGCCCAGGCGCCCGCCCCAGCCCGTCGCCCAGGCGCCCGCCCCAGCCCGTCGCCCAGGCGCCCGCCTCAGCCCGTCGCCCAGGCGCCCGCCCCAGCCCGTCGCCCAGGCGCCCGCCCCAGCCCGTCGCCCAGGCGCCCGCCCCAGCCCGTCGCCCAGGCGCCCGCCCCAGCCCGTCGCCCAGGCGCCCGCCCCAGCCCGTCGCCCAGGCGCCCGCCCCAGCCCGTCGCCCAGGCGCCCGCCCCAGCCCGTCGCTCAGGCGCCCGCCCCAGCCCGTCGCCCAGGCGCCCGCCCCAGCCCGTCGCCCAGGCGCCCGCCCCAGCCCGTCGCCCAGGCCCGCGCCCTAGCCCGTCGCCCAGGCGCCCGTCCTAGCCCGTCGCCCAGGCGCCCTCCCTGGCTCGTCACCCCAGCCCCGTAGGCAGCGCGCCGCGCGGGTAGCGCGCCCCGCGGGTAGCGCGCCCCGCAGGAGGCGCCCCGCAGGCAGCACACCCTGCAGGCAGCACGCCCCAGAGTGCTTTAGTGCCAGAAAATAAATAAACAAATTAAACCCTAAAAAAAAAAGGGTTTAGAGTGGGGGCCTGCGACTGTCGCCCGCGTTCCTGCTTGCCGGACGACCTGCACAGTTGCCTACATCTCGCAGCCGTCAGTACTGCAGCCCCTACTATCGCACGTACTTTCCACTGCCAGTGGCTCTACTAGTAGCAGCCGACAGCCGCACTTACGGTCTCTAGCCCCGGCCGTTCCTACCTCCAGCCAGCCCTAGCTCGCCGTTTCTAGCTCCAGCCAGTTGTGCTCCAGCCGTTCTAGCTCCAGCCGTTCTTGCTCCAGCCGTTCTCGCTCCTCGCTCGTAGCTCAGTTTGCTCCGTGCTCCGGCCGTTCCTCGCCTGGTTTCACCTGGCGCTTCTAGCTCAGTTTGCTCCGTGCTCCAGCCGTTCCTCGCCTAGTTTCACTTGGCGCTCCTAGCTTAGTTCGCTCCGTGCACTAGCAGTTACTCGCCTGGTTTCACCTGGCGCTCCTAGTTGTTCTCGTTTTTCACTGCAGCCTGTCGCTCCTAGCCTGCCGCTCCTGCACCCCGCTAGCTTTTATCATGAAGTCCACTAGGGTTCTCTAGCAGCAGGGACAGCAGCAGCGGCCTTTTCAGCAGTGGCTTCCGCAGCAGCAGGGGCGCCCTCAGCAGCTGTGGCGCCCTCAGCAGCCGTGGGGGCCTGGTGGTTCAGGTCGCGTTGGCTTCAGCAGCGGCCCAGCCAGCTGGGGGGCTCGTCGCGGTGGCCGCGACGTCGGCCCTTGCCAGTACCGGATCCTGACCGGCCCTGGTGCTAGCACTACCTGCTGGCGTCCTGACCACTCTGCACAGCGCTGCTACAGCCACCTCGACGACCTTTACCGTGAGCGTTTTGGGCCTGAGTCGGCTCCCCCAATCCGGCCCGGTCTGTTTCGTAGTGGTTTCCCTGTGTTTGATATGTCTATGGATGTTGTTTATTCTGTCACGTACGGATCTCTTGGCTTACGTGTACCTAGCTTAGAACAATTGCCTGTTGCTAGTGTCGGTACTTGTGCTTTTAGTGTAGGTGCTTGTGTAGTCACTAGCCCAGCCGTGACGACTGCTGTTGCGTCGCTCTCCTTCACGCTGGACTCTGGCGCGTCTCAGTGCTTCTTCCACGACCACACCACTGTCACACCTCTTTCGGCTCCACTCCCAGTTGCCCTGGCTGATCCTACTTCAGGACCAGCAGTTGCTCGCAGCTCGACCACCCTCCTGTGCCCGGCTGTCCCCTCTGGTTTCCTCACTGGTCTCTACATCCCCTCGTTCTCTCGGAACTTGGTGGGTGTTGGATACCTTCAGGACCAGGGGATCACAGTCACTTTTCCTGCGCACGGGAGGACTGCAATCTGTACGGACTCTTCCACCAGGGCAGTTCTTGCCACGTTCACCAGAGAGCCCCACTCAGGTCTCTTCGTCCTGCACACTCCGCCCCTGCAGGTAGCTGTGTCTGGTCAGGTTGCTTCGTCCCCCCCGGTAGCAGAGTCCGGTCAGGTGGCTCTGTCTAGTCCGGTCGCTGTGTCCAGTCCAGACGCTGCGTCTTGCTCCTGACGCTCTCTCGCCCACCGCACCGTCCTGTGGCACCACCGTCTTGGCCACCCGTCGATCCCTCGCCTTTGTGGCATGCTCAGTCAGGGACTTGTCACAGGTCTCCCACGCACCTTCCCGTTGCTCCCTCTCTCGCTTGCCCCTCCTTGCTCTCCGTGCGTCGCCGGTCACTTACGCGCCACTCCCCACTCCTCCTCCCTTCGTCCGGCCACCGCTCCCTTCGAGACTCTCCACTTGGACGTCTGGGGCCTTGCCCCGACGCAGGGGTCTGGGAGGGAGCGTTACTTTCTGGTGGTCGTCGACGACTTCTCCATGTACACCACAGTGTTCCCTCTTGCGAAGAAGTCCGAGGTGACTGCTATGCTGATCAGGTGGCTTCTAGCCACTGAGGGCACTCGTAGTCGTCGAGTCAGTTGTCTTCACTTTGACCGTGGGAGCGAGTTTCGCTCCGGCATTCTCCGCGGATTCTGCGGCGAACAGGGCATCACCCAGTCCTGGACGCTGCCAGAGTCCCCACAGCAAAATGGGGTTGCTGAGCGCCGCATAGGCTTGGTCATGGACATCGCCCGCACGTCCATGATTCATGCCCGTGCGCCCCATTTTCTGTGGCCCCACGCGGTTCGCTACGCTGCACACCAGCTGAACCTCCAGCCGCGTGTCTCGCGGCCCGAGGCTTCACCGACCAGTCTTTGGACTGGTTCCCCTGGTGTTGGGTCGGCCTTTCGAGTCTGGGGCTGCCTTGCACTTGTTCGCGACACCTCCGCGGACAAGCTCTCGGCACGCGCCGTCCCCTGTGTCCTCCTTGGTTTCCCAGTGGACTCTGCTGACTGGTCCTTTTACCACCCTCCCCTCGACCAGTTCCTAGACTCCCGTGACGTCCGGTTTGACGAGTCAGAGTCCTACTACACCCGGTACCCCTATCGAGGTCTCCCGGTACCCCCTCCCCCTCTCTTCCTCGCACCCTCTCCTCCTCCTGCTCCCGCTCCTCCGGTACCCCCGCCCCCCCCTAGTCCTGCCCCGTCTGGTGTGTCCCACGCTACCCCTCTACCCTCGGTTGCGCGTCAGGTAGCGTCTCCCTCCCCGCAGTCCTCCTCCAAGTCCCCTCAGCAGCCTTCGGCACTTCCACGACAGGTTACTGTGGACTCGGTTGGTGTTGGAGCTGGAGGTGCAGCCGCTGGCAGTGCTCGATCTGGGGGTGCTCGGTCGCGGGGTACTGGAGTTGGAGGTGCTGGCGTAGGTGACGCTAGCTCTGGGGGTGCTGGAGCTGGAGCTGCTGGCGCAGGTGGCGATAGCTCTGGGGGTGCTGGAGCTGGAGGTGCCGGCACTGGACGTGCTGGTTCTGGGGGTGCTGGAGTTGGGGGTGCTGGCACTGGCGGTGCTAGTTATGAGGGTGCTGGAGTTGGAGGTCCTGGCACTGGCAGTGCTGGTTCTGGGGGTGCTGAGTCTGAGGAGACTGATGCTGGAGACCCTGGTTCTGCGGAGTCCACTCCGCCCCCCCACCGCCACGACACGCGTCTCCAGGCTGCCCGTCGGCGTGAGCGTGAGGAGCAGGAGCAGTTGGAGAGGGAGCGGCAGGAGCTGCGGGTGCTGGACCTTCTGGAGCAGCAGCGGCAGCAGGAGCAGCAGCAACAGCACCAGCGGCAGCAGCAGCAGCACCAGCGGCAGCCACAGCCACAGCCGTAGCAGCAGCAGCCGCAGCCGCAGCAGGAGCGGCCGCAGCCGCCACCGCAGCTTCCTCTGGAGCGGCGGTTATTCCCACCTGTGAGTGGCCTGCGGGCCCTTGGCCTTTCCTCCTCTCCTCCTGTCCACCCCCAGTCTCCTCGTGTGTTTGTTCCTACGTTGCCTCCTCCTGACAACCGTCCGGCGGTCTGGTCTTCTCCTCCTCCTCAGTCTCCTCCTCCCTCTGTCCGTCGCGACTTGATCACTCGTTGTCCTCCGCGTGCTCGTCACTCGTCCCCTGATACTGACCTCCACACTGCCCTCCTTTGTTCGTCTCGTCGTCGTTCTCCTTCTCCTGTGTCCGTTCTCCCGTCTCCTCCTCCGTCCTCTCTACCTACCCTCCTAACTCCTATCTCTGACTACTACTGCGCTGTTTGTCCTACTGCCGCACGTGTCCTCACCACTCTTGTCACCAACCCTCGTTTCCCTCCGTCGTTTATCTCGGCTCTCACTGCCGCTGTCGCTGAGTTTGCTGCCGCCAGCCGCCTTGACTACGCCACCCGTGTGGTGCCAGCTCCTCCCTACCGTCCTCTGTCCGTCGGGGGTGGGTTTGCCCTTGGCTGTGACGTCCTAGAGGACAGAGAGTCTGAGCTGGAGTACTGGGCAGCCGCTTCTTCCTCTGTGTGTGCCATGCTGCTCTCCCCTGAGGGAGACCCCGACGCCCTTGACATACTGACTCCTCGCCCTTGTCGTTCTCCTCTTTCGCCTCTGTCTCGTCCTGCGTCACTTGTTCCTGCTGCTCGCACTGCTAGCCGTGTTCCGCGTGAGCGCCATCCTGCTGTCCCCGGCACACACTATATGACTCTGCGTCCTTCCACTGCTCCCCAGCATCTCCCTCTCCCGTCTCCTCTTGCGTCCTCTCTTCCTGCTCTTGCTGACCCAGAGTCTGACTCCCTTCGCGCTACCAGTCCTACTGTCATGCGTCTCCTGGCTACTGTTGTCACTGACCCTTCCTTTGAGTCCGCTGCTGCGTCTGCCTTAGTTGCTGAGCTTGTCGACTTTGCTGCCACCTGTTGTCTAGACTACGCCGCTAGCCTAGTTGCTGAGTCTGAGTCTGTCTGTCCTCCGTCCGTCGGGGGTGAGTGTGCTCTTGGCACGGACGTTCTTGAAGACAGGCAGGAGGAGTTTGAGTGCTTCCCCGCTACTTCACCCCATCTCGTGTCCATGCTAGTTGCCCCTGAGGGAGATCCGGTACACCAGACATCCCGACTCCTCGATCGTACGCTGAGGCGATCAAGAGTCCCTACTCTTCTCAGTGGCAGTCAGCCATGGACGCAGAGATGGCTTCCTGGAAGTCCACAGGCACCTACGTTGACGAGGTTCCCCCACCTGGGGCGAACATCATCAGTGGTATGTGGATTTTCAGGCTGAAGCGGCCGCCGGGTTCTCCGCCTGTCTTCAAGGCGCGTTACGTTGCACGAGGCTTTAGTTAGCGAGAGGGAGTGGACTTCTTCCAGACCTTCTCCCCGACCCCAAAGATGACCACTCTTCGGGTTCTGCTGCACGTCGCCGCTCAGCGTGACTACGAGCTCCACTCTCTTGACTTCAGCACTGCTTTCCTACAGGGCAGCCTGCACGAGGAGATCTGGCTGCGCCGCCCACCTGGCTTCACTGGGTCGTTTCCTCCTGGTACCCAGTGGAGCCTCCGGCGGCCAGTCTACGGTCTACGACAGGCACCGCGTGAGTGGCACGACACACTGAGGACTACACTTGCGGCTCTTGAGTTCGCTCCCTCTACTGCTGACCCGTCGCTGTTTCTACGCACCGACACTTAGCTGCCGCCATTCTACATCCTCGTCTACGTCGACGACTTGGTCTTTGCCACTGCTGACACTGCGGCACTCGCCCACGTGAAGTCGGAGCTGCAGAAGAGACACACGTGCACAGACCTGGGTGAACTGACAAGCTATCTTGGCTTGTGGATCACCCGGGACAGAGCACGGTGCACCATCACCTTGACTCAGTCACACATGGTGCAGCAGGTCCTTCAGTGCTTCGGCTTCACGTACTCCTCGCCTCAGTACAGTCCTCTGCCTACAGGTCACTCGCTCTCAGCTCTGCCTTCGGATGAGTCCGTAGAGCCGAGTGGCCCGTATCCAGAGCTTGTGGGCTGCCTCATGTACCTGATGACCTGCACTCGACCTGACCTTGCATACTCTCTTAGCATCCTTGCACGCTATGTAGCTCCTGGCCGTCACCGGAAGGAGCACATGGATGCTGCTATGAGGGTGTTGCGCTATCTGTGCAGTACGTCGGGCATGGGGCTAGTGCTCGGAGGACG